GATTGCCCGCGAAGACACAGAAAACGCTCCCAATTGCTGTCACTGCTGTCAGTATCACGTGTGCTTCATTAGATAAAGGCAGTTTATGGGCAGATCCAATGACATCATTACAGGTGAAATACAGCCGAAGTGCAAGTCGTCAATGCCAGCGTGGTGCCATTAATGAGATGCCAGTAGACGGTGGAAAAACGGAACGCATAAAGTGCTCGTTAGCTGAAACCGTTGTCACTGCCATCAAGGCCATTATTGCCCATATCAAAACAACGACAATCACACCGGTCATTATACGACAATATCTATTAACAATTACGAGTCAATCTCAACATAGTCACCGCCCGTGGCGACTCGTGTCCTTTGACTGGGAGTTACTGCTTTTGAAATATTCTTCGCAAAAAGTGATATGTCAATTAATCAAGGCCCTTAGCACCAAAATGGTTCGACTTATCCGAAGTTCAGGATAGACGTGGTCTCGAGACACGGCCTGTCAACTTTCTGTTAGAGAAGGGTCGGTAGGGTGCTGATTTTAAAGAGTCCGATCTTTACATTGTTTACCCGGGTTCGATTTCCCACATGGGTACAATGTGTGAAACCCATTTCTGGTGTCCCCGCCTTCATAGTGTTGTAATGTTGCTGGAAGCGGCGTAAAACTATATTCACTCACTCACTGCTCCAACAGATGCATGCCCACTGCGCCCCACTGCGCTCCGCAGTGATATCGAAGTGGTGGTCAATTACAAATTACACTAGTGGATGCTGACAGTTAATAAGGTGGTGGTGGAATTGGGTTTAACGTCGTGCATGCGTATGTATGTGCATGTGCGGCTGCTTGTACTAGCCCAGACTGAAGCTGGTTTTATAGTGCCAGCCCACTGAGATACCATGCCGCAGTGAAGCATGAATACCCCACTCAGACACATTATACTGACTCCGAGCCGACCAGTCCTTGTTGTACCCATTAATGCCGAGCGCCAGGCAGGGACCAACAAGTCCCATATTTTAACGTATTTTGGTATGACGCGATCGGGGATCGAACCCGCGACCTTCCGCACTCCGGGCGGACGCTCTAACCACTACACCACGGATGCGGTCAGTTAATAAGGTATATGTGTGACATAACTATGGAATAAATGACGTAACATTATACATGTCGCCATAAAATAACTGCTCCCTCGGTAGTCAGGACAAACCACATTATCCAGACGATTTGGGGTGAAAATCAAACCGTCTAGATTCACGGGGTTGTCATTATCAACTCGCAAGGCCTAATCAATACAAATGGACGGGTCGCGTCAACATAAAAGTGGTCAAATATATTTTAATTAATAGCTTATTATGGATTCTGCGGGAGAACCAGATTACACCGTGGTAAATCGGTAAGTGGTGTTCGACTTAACGTCGCTCCATTGTAAGTATTGATAATTAATTGATCAGGGCCGCTGAACCCGATGACCTAGCGAGACATGGTCCGAGGTGGACAGTTAAAATGGAAATTGTTTCTTTTATTGTCTATTGCTGTCCATTAGTATTGTTGTGCTGATTGTATTTTCGGTACAGATGGACTAACATATTTAGGGATGATGAATGTCCGCTCGATATAGCATAGCGTACAATATTAGAAGGAGTGTCAGAAGAAAGCAAATGATAAGCTGCATAGTAAGGAACACAAATATTATTTTAGAATGCCTCTCACTTCACGCGCTTCTTAACTATCTTAATTTAGAAAAAGGACTATTTCTGATATATGTTTAATTTGTACGAAGACCAGCTAACAAATTTCTGTTATGATTATGCACTATCCGACTGCCCCGTTGAGAGGGGTTGAACATGCTCCCCTGTGTTGCTAAACCGACATCTTTCTTAAACGCCGTTTTTTATATATGTGCAACTCTGCATTTGTACATTGCAGATATATTTTAAAAGTAACCCGGGATACGGGGTAGAATTGGTCTTCAGTAACCCGTGCTTGTCGTACGATGCGGCTAACGGGATCGGGTGGTCCTCTGACTCAGGTGACATGGCATCCCATTTGCGTAGATTGATACGCATATTGTTGATCACTGGATGTTCTGGTGCAGACTCGTTTATTTACAGACCGCTGAAATTGCGGCCATAAACAACGAAGTATTTCAAAAGTAGCATCACCAGATTGTCGAAATTTCGGGTCTATCACTTGATTGTCAGGCTTCATTATATGCCGCCGGCGCACGGCATTAGTACTGTTGTAAAACATCGGGCTACCAACACTTGCATGCCTATATGCACGTAATAGCAGTAGGGCATGCTTACTCTTTCATTCAATAACCTGGTGTCGTCCCTGATTTTCAGCTTTCTATTTCATACAATGTTCACCGCAAGTTTGCCGTTCACGCTTAAAGAATCTGGCGGTTCATCACGACTGGCCATTACCTGACATTGGCGTCTTATCGTTCATTATTTCAGTTATAGCAATGCAAAGCGGTCTGTATTGGACTTTCCTACCTCTGTGCGATCTAGCAACTACCCGTGAAGACCCGGGTTACAACTGGTCTTCAACAACCCATGCTTGTGAGAGGCGATTAACGGGATCGGGTGGTGGGCCTCGCCTACTTGGTTGAAACATTTCTTCGTACGTCAGATCGCTGCTCAAGTTCTTAATCACTTTATTGTCTAGACATGCTGTAAGTTTACAGCAGTCATATAGCATGAATGATACTGTAAACCAATTAACCCCTCCACCCCCTCCTACACCCACATCCACACAGACCGCCGTCATATAGCTGGAACACTGCTCAGTGCGGCGTTAAACAACAAATTTGGCAATTGGACTACCGTCAAACGTGCTTGATAGTAGTCCATGCTTATGTTTCTTGCACTCTATTAGGCAGGAATATGTTCGACATATGTCTTGCTTTGCTCGAAGGGTCAGCAAATGACATATCCAAACCTCCATTATGTATAGAAATGTTTTTCTAGGTTAAATTAAGCGATTCCGCAAACCTTAATAGCATCATGTTATTCAGCCAGCGATGCAGCTTTGTGATTTGTTTATACCAAGCGTGAGGATGTTTTTCAAGGATTATAAGTAGCTTTTCTAAAGGCTCCTACAGTCTCGTTTCTTGGGGAGGTTCTATTATGCAACCTTTTCACCTCCTCGGAGGCCGGTGGCAACATTCAGCTTGTTCGTGACATTGCATGTTTTCAATGTGTACTGCAAACAGCAGTGTCTGTACAAACATGGATATCTCCCTGCCGTGCTATGTGCTGGTCTCTCCCACGGGGTCTTTGCAGTAGATGTCTGCCTAACACCATTTGCATTATGTTACGACGTAAGGTCATTTACCGCATTTCAAGGACGTATCAACGTCGATAATGTTTCAAGAATATGAATCCTCAAAAGGTTCAAATATAGGACGAAACAGATTGCATTTGTCAAATAAGGGTGGAAATTGTATGAAAGAATCAGTGGAAATCAGCGAGTGTTGGAGGAAGGGTGAGCCTGACCTGTCCTTCCTACGCTGAGAATGTTAAACGACATATCAGTATAAGGTGAACTCGAAACGAAACTATATGATACTCGAAAACAACATACTGAAATAGTATTATATAGACCTATTCACCATACCCATGCCTTGATGCCGGAGAGCAAAAATAGTCAGACTGGTTCCACGTGGATCAAGTCAAAACATTGATTACACAACAGGCTCGTTTCCTGTTGACTGGGTTCCGTTCTATTGCGCAACTTAGTACAATAACCAGTCCAGAATTTTGAGACTAATTCATTTAACTGGATACATAAATATTAATCAGTATTATTTGATACATCTAAGGACTTGTATATTGCAACAATACGCTTTTATAATCCTTGCAAACATGCCGCGCAGCGTGCTCTGTCGTACAGCGAGTACTGACAAACAGAAACCCGGAAATCGTGGAAATCTCAAATCGAGGCTCTGCCGCTAGAAAAGTTTGGCGGTCTGGTACGGAATTGATATTATATCAATCACATTGTGCGTTACAGAACTACACTGAATAAGCACAAAATAAACCACATAACATGTGTAACCAGTGAGCTAGATGCATTGTGAATCAGGGCAGTCTGTGACGTCTTAGTTAAGGTCATGCTGCCTACACCTCGCCATAAAATATAGAAATACGATGTTATTAAAGTTTAAAATTAAAATTCATTTGCAAATACCATTTTCTTATGAAACCAGAAATTGGAATTCAGTGTGACCATAGTTGTTGTTCACTTTCACACGAGAAAATTCGGATCGGCTGAAAAGTAGGTCATTGTCTGAATAGGTTGATGTTTCGGTTTGTTCCCAAGCCTACAGTTATACGTTAAATGTGTAACTGAAAGAAATCCTAGCTACTTTCTCAACCTTAAAGCACAGCCCTATGCTAGACATGGTCAAATATTTACAAAACTGACCAGAGCATTTTGTAGCCTGTGTGTATACTGTATGAGTACTGATGACGAGCGGTGTGATAGCCTTGTGGTTAGAGCGTTCGCTCGTCACGGGTTCGATTCCCCATGTGGGTACAATGTGTGAAGTCCATTTCTGGTGTAATGCGCCGTGATATTGCCGAAACCGGCGTGAAACCACACTCACTCACTCACTCTGATTGATGTGTACTCTGCGGTTGATAGTGGTGATTAACATCATTCTATCACGTGTCGCGGTAGCCGAGGTCGGCTATTACTTCGAATGGTACGTGACGTGTTCGAGCCCCTCTGTCGACAGGTGTTTTCGAACAAAATTTGAAATCATTCAGCAAACGCCTAACTGAAAACGCAAATCCAGATAAGCATTAACTGAAATATTGGTTAATATAGACCTGCACATCTGAATACCAATTTGTGACAAATACAGATCATATTTGAATTATAAAGTTATGTCACAAATGGACTTTACCGTCGTAAAAAAACATTTATTTGTTCAATGAATGTATTTCTGTATTCCAACTATATGACCGCCGTTCAATGAAAACCTAATTTAATGATTTCTTTTTGTTTCCAGGATGAAGGCTCCGACCACCGCCATTCTGATTATCATCGTTCTATCCAGTGTCGCGAGTTGTAAGCGTATCCCGAGAAACCGGAACCGGAACAGAGGAGGTCCCGTGAAAGACGCAGCCGCACTGGAGAACGAGGTTGACGGGCAGTGCGAGTTGGAGATCGCCTGCAAGGGAGAGCGGCTCATACCCCTCAGCCTCCCCATCAAGGGTCCCAAAGGGCCTTCGGGAAACCAGGCGCTAAGGGGGACCCAGGAGAACCAGGAGTGCCGGGATTACCGGGGATACCAGGTATTTATTACAGAAGTGGTTGTCATGTTGTCAAATATTTTAACAAAGCCCGGTAACGACTCCGTGTTGGAACTACAGACCAGTGCAAAAAGTATTCGGACACTTGACGTGTAATTTCCATAGACTTACATGTTATTTCAGTGTAGAATAAATAATTTTCATGAAGTGAGTTTAGGATGGATCTTTGTAAAATTGACAGGCTCTGCGCGCATAATTTCAGTTCAAATTTCCGACCACATCACATTTATCAACTTACGTATAGTTCCACAATGCACAACCCCATAGACCGCCATGTTAAAGGAGTTCACGGCACTGTATATGTGTTGATTAAATTGTTGCCATTCGATAAAAAAGCAACGAAAAAAATTTAACAAAAATTATGTGATTGTAGGTAAGATGATTTGTCACAAATGTGCAAAATGTGACTTGGATCTTACGAAAATTGTATTCATGAAATTATTTATGCTACACTAAATTAACGTGTAAGTCTATGGAAATTACGTAAAGTGAATAAATTTTGCACCACTCTGCTACCAATCTATGTTTGTTGTATGAGGCGACTGCGTGGATCGTATGGTCAGATTGGGCTGTCATGCTATCGCGAGAATGTTCTCAACATGAAGCTGCTGTCATATGCATGTGCCTGGAATATTGTTATAAATTGTTTTGAGTTATTTAAAAGTAAATCTGAATAAAAGTAATTGCTTAACATTGAGTTCGACATGGACTATTCTATGCAAGTGTTGACTTCAATATCCATGCGTATGGGTAGAAACGTAAAACTGGTTTGCACACTATGTAAATCCACGTGTAAACTCTTCAAACAAATAACATATTAAAGTTGTATTTTTATAAACACTTATAACGTAACGGACTGCTTATTCAATATTTAAAACACAAGAAAAACTGCGCAAAACAATAAGAAATCAGCGTCATCATTCAGCGCAATAACCCAAGACAAGCACCGCCCATTCTGTTATCGTTCATTCAGCATGTAATAGCCTGATTGTATGTGCGGCCTAAAGTATTTTTCGGTTAGGAGAGGGATACTTTTTGGTTTGCAATTTATTTACACGGCTTTTATCCTTATTAGGACCTGTTCCATGTGTTTGTGTTTTTCAGGGGAACCACTGGGTTGTCTATGCATGTGTTTGTGAGGGGTGTCACTGATGGGGCAGGATACACCAACCTTTTCGCGAACACCTGGTGTTATCACTTAAAGTGATTCTCAAACACATGCTCATTGTGGGAATTGTAAAGTACAGATAAAGAAGGTGTTTTGTCTCTTCTATTCACTGTCAACACACCTTTGTGCATGCCCCGTGGATATTAGAATAAGATAGAAGCTAAAGTCAAATATGTGAATCGGAAAAGTGTTTTGTATGACTGTAAATGATGCTTATTAAAGAGTTTCTATGTCGGTAGCCTAATTAAATACAGGCTAATCATAACATTAAAGATTTCAAGTGTGTGCGTGGAGATCGTAACACAAATACTCGTAGGTCATATTTAAGGTACAAATTCAAGGTAGACAACGACGTCAGTCGAAACAACCCCCTTGAATCACATTTAAGGTATTATATTCATAGAAACTAATGGCACGTGTCAAACCAATCCTCTTAAATCATATTTACGGTACATATTCAACGAAACCAATAACACGTGATTGATCTGGTCTGATTGATCTGAAAAGTCCTAACTTAACCACGCCCTCCACCTACACCGCATATCAATATATTCAATAGCCCCATTCATATCTGCATCACGATATTGTGTATATAAAAATATGATCAAGAGCAGCTAGCCACGCAAGTTTGTGAAACAAAAAACTACTAAAAATGCAAAAGAGTTGGCAGTTGCTGAAACCGGTTGCTACAAACCGTCTGCGTTTTTGTCGATTGCATTTCTCAAACGTCAGACTATGTCAAAAACTCTTCTGGTTTTGTTTTTCAAATATCAAATACCAATTTCAGCAATACCTGTGTCTCTGTCAGGAGCTCACAGAGAACACAAATGAGCTCTAAAATAACCACTGGTTTTGTAGAAAATTACATGAATGTAGAAAATAATGTGAGTTTGAAAAAAAAAGTACTTCGGGGAGAAGGTGCCTTGAAAATGCCTTACCTTGGAAACAAGTAACTCGACTTTTATACACTGCCTTACCAATCCGACTTTACTTGGTAACGTAACTTACAGCCTTGATTTATTGAGAAATCCGTTCTCAGCTAACATAAAACATCTTCGAAACATTTTCATGAGCTTTCAAAACAGTTCTTCAAAACGTTTTCGTAACGTTATAAAAATGCTTCACAACTATGTAAATGTCACTGAAATGGGTTTTTATAAATGCTATTCACGAACAAACGCTACAATATGGGCAAAATTATTTCATATTATTATTTTCATGTTGTTGCAATGTTTTTGAAACGCTGCAGAAATGTTATGCATGAACATATTCAATGAAATATTGTCATCGTGAAGTTTTTGAATGGCATTTAGAAGATGGACGAACATGAATACATGACACTTTTATGGATAACAACTTCTTTTTATTCTTTACACGACGTTTCAGAGCTTATTCTTGCTCCTTCATCAGGTGAATACTGAGTCAGTACAAAGAGTGAATATATATAGATAAAACATGTTTACACATTGCAAAGAGGGAAAATGTACAAAGATAACTATAATTACGCAGCCAACAATATAATCACGAAGCCAATAACATTACGAAACCAATAGGATAGGATAAAAGATAACAATGAACGGATGAAGCCAGGAGATTATAGGACAACAGAGTATACACTGGGAAGGTAAATGCCTTGGTCCCGGTTAATGTCTGGCTTCTTTCTCTGGATCTCAATGCTTTCTTGAAGTTTCCGCTTCTTCCAGTGGTTGATGTTGGTGTGTAGAATCTGGGTTTGTTGCCAGGAAATATGGTGGTCGGGATTTTTGATGAGGTGTTCCGAAAGATCAGATTTCATGTCAGATTTTTCTACAGAGGTCTTGTGTTCTTTTATCCTGGTAGCTATGGGGCGTGATGTCTCTCCTATGTATTTGTCTCCGCAGTTGCATGCTATTTCGTATATACATCCTCGTGGATTTGGGGTGGACTCAATGGTACCTTTCTTCAATATTGCGATGTTTTGTTGTCTCAGATAGTCTACATTGCCATTGGGTGCTAGTTGTTGGAGTCCATTTTCTATTCCAGTAATGAATTCATCCGGTGTCCTCTTGGTGGATGTAGGAATGAACTAGGAGAGTTTCTTGTGCTTGGGTTAGAGTCTTACTACTTAGGTTGCCTACAGTCTTTGACGTAGATTGGCTGGTGTTCTTTCTGGACTGGTTTTGCTGTTTGTGGAGACTTTCTGATTTCAGCTCTTGGAACTTACGTGCTTGTGTTGTTTTGGTCTTTTGGTGAACATGTGAGGAGTTTCTCTCAGCTAGCTTTTGGACCTTGTCATAGATGGGTGGTGACAGCTGGAATTTTTGTGATATGTATACGAAATATAGCATGCAACTGCGGAGACAAATACATAGGAGAGACATCACGCCCCATAGCTACCAGGATAAAAGAACACAAGACCTCTGTAGAAAAATCTGACATGAAATCTGCCCTTTCGGAACACCTCATCAAAAATCCAGACCACCATATTTCCTGGCAACAAACCCAGATTCTACACACCAACATCAACCACTGGAAGAAGCGGAAACTTCAAGAAAGCATTGAGATCCAGAGAAAGAAGCCAGACATTAACCGGGACCAAGGCATTTACCTTCCCAGTGTATACACTGTTGTCCTATAATCTCCTGGCTTCATCCGTTCATTGTTATCTTTTATCCTATCCTGTTGGTTTCCTATTATGTTGTTATTCTTGTACAACACTCCACCCCAACTCTTGGATTTGTGTACACAATACATTGTTTTCTTAATCCAACCTTATTGGCTTCGTAATGTTATTGGCTTCGTGATTATATTGTTGGCTACGTAATTATATTGTTATCTTTGTACATTTTCCCTCCTTGCATTGTGTAAACATGTTTTATCTATATATACTAGCCACATAGTATATATAGTGCATTGTCAAAATATTATCCCAGTTGATAAGTACGATAACAATGTCAAAGGTACATGTAAACTTTAATGGAGGGATCATGAGACCATAACGGGAGAATTTCAATTGAAAAGTCAATCACAATGACGTCACGAGTCCACAAGCGGGACAGGGGTCAAACGACCATGTCACAAGCTCAATACCGGGTATGTCCACCATCGGCATTGAGAACAGCAGTGCATCGACGACGCATAGAGCCTATCAAACGTGCATGGAAGGCTTGTGGGATGTCACGCCAGATTCTCTCAAGTTCTGTTGCAAGGTCAAGGACGTTATCTGGCGGATGAGGAAGACGGCGTAGACGTCGATCCATCTCGTCCTAAACATGCTCTATCGGGGAGAGATCTGGTGAATTTGCAGGCCAAGGCAGTAAATCAACGTTGTGGTGTTGCAAGAAATCCATAGCAACCCTTGCCGTATGAGGGCGGGCATTGTCCTGTTGGAATGTTAGCCCAGGGCCATGACGTTGCAGAAAAGCAGTTGCCACAGGTCGAAGAATCTGATCCCTGTAGCCCACACCAGTTAAGTTGCCCTGAACAACCACCAAAGGAGTTCTTTGGCGTGCTGTTATTCCACCCCAAATCATCACGGAACCACCACCAAAGCGATTCCTCTCAAAGACACAGGCTTGTACATAACGTTTCCCACGCGTCTATAGGCACGTTGACGTCCATCACTATGGGAAATGTTAAACCTGGACTCATCTGTAAAAAACCCATTTCTCCACCAAAACAAGGGTCTGCGGACATGATTTCGGCACCACATTCGGCGAGCTTGTCGATGACGTTGTGTCAGGATAGGCCGTATGGCGGGACGTCGTGGTCTGATCCCGTGATGACGTAGACGTTGTTGAACTGTGTTGGGGTGGATACGGCGAAGTCCTGGGAT